TCTCTGAGCATTCTTGAAGTAGCTGGAGGATGTTAAACCAAAATTTAAGTATAACTGTATATACTAAATATATATTAAATACTTAATAAAGGTAAATGGCAAGGCTGCCAAAGTTAAAAAAAAAAATATCTACAATCTAACTTTTTACTACTTTAAACAATCTTTTAACACTATATCTATTCAATAATATATATATTAGGCTTTAAATCTTTCTACTTTCACCTTAGCAACCTTCTATACACCCTTATCTTTTAAAGAACTTTATAAACTAGGCAACTAATTTGAACAAACCTTTATCCTACTAAACAATACATCTAGTAATTCTAAACATATATCTTATTTCTTTTACTGCTATCTTAAAGCTTACTTTAAATTTGCAGCAACAAACAATAAAATTATTAATCTTAATTTCAAAGAAGCATTGAACAAAAGCTCCTCTCAAACAAGCAATTCACAAATCCTAGTCAGAATTATTGCCTATTACAACATTATTTAAATCTCTAAACCAACTATTACTTAATTTAAAAAAAATCTTAACAAGTCATATTTTGATTAAGCAAACCAGTATATTATCAAAAAACTTAATATTGTTATACTTACAGTATCAGAAGCTAACTTTATCTATATCTTCATTATATTTAAAATCATTAATGAACTTAATAATAGCTTTTTCTTCTAATAATATTTATATATTTCTATTAAATTTTTTTTATCTATTTACTTATTCAATCTATCTTACTTATCTTAGCTATATCTTTACAATTTTATTAACTTTCTTTATCTATTTGCTTATTCAATCGACACTACTTTTTACTTTTTAACTATACTTTATTTCTTACTTAATTTATCTTACTTTTGGTTTCTTTTCTTTATAATAATGTAATTAACTTCTAATAGTATAAATAGTTAGTAAAATTTATAAGTAGCTTACTAGTATATACTAGAGTAATAAACATAATTTAGAATCTTCAACTAATCTAGGTGAGCCTTAACCATTCTAATATATTTAAGTTGCAGATAAATATGTCTGAGTTCTTACTCTTGCATGTAGCATTTATATTACTTAGAGTTATAGTTTTATAGTTAGCAGTTTAATAGTTAGCTTTGATTGCAAGTGTTGGTCTTAGCTATAATATATATAGAACTTTTTTTTGTATTTAGTAACTTTATATAGTTACTACTTAATAACTACAAATAAAGATAGAAGCAAGGCTTTACCTTAATACCAAAAAAATAATTCTTATTGTATATATAAATAAACATATATGTGAAATTGTATACAAATAAATAAATTTTAATTAAAAATTATTTAAATATATTAATATAAGTTAGATATTATATTAATGCTAGTTAGATATTATAATGCTAACCAAATAATCTTATTTTAGGATCATATTAAAAATCCCACACATACCAATCTCTAATTGCAATTAAGAATATGGTTTCTTATGACTATATCAAACTTAAACTAATATTGTATTCTGAGTTTAAGTTTAGTATAATAAAAATTTAAATTTATATAAGTTTTCTTTTTATATTATTTATTGCAGTTTGTAAAAAGATGTAACCTCTGAAATCATTGTATAATATAAAATTATAAAAAATTAAATAATTTTTTGATTCTAAGAGAATTATACAAATTTTTAAATATTATAGATATTACTGATTAAATATATATTGATAAAAAATCTATCTTCAAAATTCTTTACTATTATTATTACACTTTTTTGCAAATTACTATAAATATTGAGTAAAGCTAAATATAAGAGAAAATTATTTTTATTACTTATTTATTTTTATTAAAAAATTATATTATATAATTTTTTATATTATTTATAATAAAAAAAATAGTTCAGTAAATATGTAAAAAAAATAATTTATAATTATAATTATAATTTTATAATATTGTAATTTTGAAAATATATTTTTTATATGAGTGAATCTATTTGTCACCAGTAGTAACAGTACTATACTAATCAGATTGCAAGATCTGATATAACATGAAATGAAGAAAAAATTGTAAGTTTTTAAAAAATCATGACAACTCAAAATTATGTTTATGAAACTACTTTTTGTATTTTAACAAAAAAAATTCCTTGTGCAATTTTACAATATACTAAATTTTATCCAAACTCTAATTGTGTCTCTAACCCTGGCTCTAATATTGTTTTAATTCTTATATTACATGATTTGATTGGTTGATTACATGTTCATGACTGTCACTACCAATGACAAACACATATTTTCTTTTTATATAAATATTTGAGATTAAATATTTTGATCAACTTTAATTAAAGATGATTTTAATTTAAAGTAAAATAATTTTTTATTTTTTTCTGAAGCATTACAAGAGTTAAGTGCTAGTATTATATTAAAATATCATAAAAAAATTTTTGATTTAGAAGACTTTGTCTCATTTTAAGAAAATACATTAGTCTTACTTATTAGTTGAGATGATTTACAAATAGATAAAATAGATGTTTGAAATTATGTTATTAAATAAGAAATTACTCAAAATTCTGGTCTATCATCTAAAATTTTCTGGCTTTAAAGACTTTTCTGCAAAATGGTTTGTTTCTTATTTGTTATTTTAAGATTTCTAATAATAATATTTTTAATAATGTGAAGTTATATAAAAAATTCTTGAAAAAACCTTTAAGAAAATATAAAAAGAAAACTTATAACTGGCCTACCAATAACATCATTAATAACTTTTCTACTTTATGTAATTTTATTCCAAAATTTATTAACTAAAATTATTGATTCATTTTCAAATTTATTAGTAAAGCACATGCAACTAAAATTACTTTATAGATTGATAAAAAGGAAATTATTTATTCTTTAACAAATAATCTATATGAGTTTAAATTAATTCTTTGTGAAACTAAATATAGCTTTATTACTAAAACATTTTAGAATTTATATAATAAGAAAACAAATAATATTGTAGTCATAAAGATCAAAGACACTGATGAAATTCTTAATAGATATAATTCAATTGAATGATATAGATTAACTAAACCAAATATTAAAAATTATTTTAGAAAGAGGTGTAATAACTTAGTAAAATAGTTAAGTTGTCAACCTCCCAAGTGGCAGGTAATGAGATCAAAACCCACCAATGATAAAATTTTGAATAATCACCTATATAATATATAGTCAATATTATAGTGATGGCATTCTGTTAATTAGTTAAGATAAAATATCTGTAATACAGTTGCACCAACATAACTAGCAGATCATAGGACATCTGCATAATGTTAGAGTTATACAAAAAAATGCAAACTGATATTAGATAGTGTAAACTCAAGATAAATTCTCATAGTTATGTAAATCTGTAAACTGGAAAGCTGAAACCCATTTGAGAAGATCTAAATAGAGAGGTAGTACAGATCTTTGGCAGTACTATTATAAAGACTAGACCTAGGAAACAAATACCAATGTAGAAGGAATCAGGTCAGCAAAAACCTTGAGTAAGAAGTACTACCAACTAGGTTATTAAAAGTCTTGAACTAGAAGAAAAGGATCTTAAAAGGCAGACCCTGGGATACCAGAGACAGGTCATAGTCCTTCTAAGCTATCTGACTTGAAAGTTTAAAGTCAGAAGTAGAGATATACTATAAGTGCTAGAGATATATTTTAAAGTTAGTATTAGGGTCTAAATAATCTCTACAAAAATGAACCCTGTTAACAAGAGACTAAATGTGAGTAATTAGTTAGCAGAAGAGTTTCCTGAAGCCCTACAGTTAGGTGACATATTCTGAAATATGTAATAGCTTGTCAGATGTACAAACAGAAAAATCAAGGTTAAGTTAAATAACATTTCAGTATACAAGAACTTGTGTACTATTTGTCAGTATAAGTATAGGAATCAGAGTGTTTAAATAGATAATCTTCTAGTAAATTACAGGTATGATAGCTAGTGTAAAACCTGCTGTATGGGCAGACAACTTAAAATAGACAACCAAAAGTTATACATGTGACTAGTTGTAGACTCACCTTGTACAAGCTATGTAACCATAATTAAAAATATAATAAAAGCAATAACCACTAATAACTATGACTTAGTGAAAGCAAAAAAATAAATAAATAAAAAAAATATTTTAGAAAACATAATGATAGCTTTGTGTTTTCATTAAAAAATAGAATTATTAAAATTCTATTTTGAGTTATATAAATGGTACAGATCATGCAATTCAATGTTGTTCTTCTAATTCTATTATTTTTAGTTGAGATACACTTACTATAGGTAATATTCCTAATCAACATAATGCAAGTTGGACTTATGAGGAGAGTACTTATGAAAAACCAATTAGAAATAAGTCTACCTATGTTGGTAATTTATTATCATTTTCAATAGATGAATATGAAATATTCAAATTAACAAAAAATAATTTAAATTATTAATAAAACATATATAGTTAAATTTTTTCATATAATATACAACTTTAAATTAATATACTTATTTGATACTTGATGCACTAGTGCAATCAGTCATGTTTAACTCCTTTTAAGCAACTCAAGCACTTTTAAAAACATATATTCTAAAAAATTTACACTATATATATAGGATTTTTTGATAAAACAAGCAATTTTGATAAAATAAAAATTATCTATAAATACTTTCTGTAAATAATACTCAGTTCTCAAACTACTAGTAATGATTTGTTGAGGAGAAAAAAAAGGAAAATGGTGTAATAAACTAAATTTAATTTTGTAAAAAATGCATCTGTTTAGAAGTTTTTAATGTATCAGTAATGAATATACAGTAAAGTAGTACAGTATGGTACTATAAGTTAGTATGGACATTAAAATATATATATATGATTTTAACATACTCAGACATATGCATAGTAGTATATAGAAGTATATGTTGTATGATTGTATAAGTGCATTAATAATTTAGTGATTTGAGAGTGATTGATGTTATATATTTGCTGATAATTCTTTTTACAAAAATAATTTGCTTACTTTAATAAGCAAATATTAACCTTAATGTAATGGCAACAAATATCAATTTGGAAATGAATATTTTGGATATTAAAGAATTTTTACCTGAACTAGTAAATCCTGAACTTGAACCAGTATGTGATTACTGTATAGCAAAATTTTGGGTTATTAAAATTAAATTATAATAAATTTTAAACTTATAAATTAAATATTAGGAATTATTTGAAAACAACTCATTAAGTGAAGATTCATTTAATAATGACGATGAAGAAATTTCAGAAATTGCATGTTTTACATCATGATTGTATATAAAGACAATAATTCATTCGAATGTACCTGTGAAATATCTTTCTACATCACCAGAAGGGATTGTCACTATATTTCATATTTCTGATTGGACCAATTCAAGTCATGCATGGAAAAATGTAAAAGTTATTATTTTAATTTTTTTTAAAAAAAATTAAATAATTATAAATTATAAATTATTTAGATACAATACTCTATGGATGGCAGTGGTATTCATTTAATAAAAAATCACTATACTTTGGCAATTCACAAGTATATAAAGAAAAATACTACTGTATAAGAATTAAAGCTTGTTGTTTTACTGATCCTTTACTTATAAATATTGAACATAATGAAGTTGATGTTGAATCTTCTCTATGAAAAAGAATTACTGAAAATCATAATACTGAAATTATTAAATCAAATACTTATATGTAAATATAATTAAAAAAATTTTATATTTATTAAAATAAATAAAATAAAACTAATAATATTTATTAAATAATGAAATCATGTGTCTCAGAAATCCAATTCTATGCAAGTTACTTATAACTAAAGATATTTATCAATGGTTTATTGGTTGTTCGATGTATTGTATTGGAGATCAATAGCATTGTTATATTAAAATTAATTGTGAAAGTGTTGATATTATGCTTCTTCAAGATTTATTTCTTGGAAAAGCAGAGATATAAATTTATATAATTTAAATTTATTATATAAGTTATAAATTAATAATTTAAAATTTATTTAAAATTTTAGATATAAGAACAGTTACCTTATTGTAATACATTATTGCATAGATCATTTAAACAAAAAAAATATAGTAAAAATATTTTATTTATTAAACTATTTTAAACAAAAATTATAATTTATATAATAATTTATTTTAATTAGATTATATACATACTTTCGCTAATGAAAAAATTGATTGTGGAGATATTATTCAAAAAACTTGTCCAGTAAAATTTTATAAATTTACATCACAAGATCTTATCACATGTCTTTTTATTGTACTAGTATGTGTTAGAATACATAATCATCCACCTCCACCTTCAGAAAAAATTCCAGTAGATATTAAAACAAATTTTTAAGCTTTAATTAATCAAGCTGTTAATGAAAATAATATTATTACTCTTAGACAAATTCAATCAAGTATTAATATATTTAATTTAATTATTTTTAATATTTATTAATATTTATTTATTAATTTAATTTTATTACTTTTATAGGCAATTTAATTAAACCTTATTTTAATTTAAATAATCTTTCGAAAATTCATCAGTCACTTAATAGTATAGATAAATTATGAATTATGGTAGCTAAAGCTTATAAAAATTTATATCCATATGGACAAGACATATTAGAAGTTTTTCATGCAGTAAAAATTAATAATTCAGAAATTAAGAATTATATTCATCGAATTGATAAAGTTATATTTAATTTTTAAATAATAATTTTTAATTTAATAATTTAATAAAATATTATTTGTTTATTTAAAATAGATTAATTCAGGTCTTATTTTAATTATTTGTATATTGAAAGAACAAGCTGAATTATTATTAAATTTGAAATGCTTTCAAATTGATTTGTCATTTAAGCAAATAAAAGGAGATTTAAACGAATTTGAAATTAATATATACAATAATGAAAATAAATTATGTAAGATTATTATTAATTAAATGTTTTATTATAAATAAATAAATTATATTAATTAATTAATTATTTTTTATTAAATATAGTTTTAAGCTATTGTCGCATTTATACTAATGTTTCTTCAGCTGCTGATTATAAAAAACTATTTAGTATTTTATTTGAAGTAATTGAAGAGCTTACAAATAATTCTATAAATATATATCATATTCATAATAAAGGTTGGGAATGTATATTGGGAGATTTAGATATTGCGCAAGCCAAAGGATTAGAACTTGCATTATATGAATTAAACCTAT